GTTGCCATCCACATTATTATTATTATTCAGGATTTATATAGAGCCAACAGTTTGCACAGCGCTTTACAATATAAAGAAGACATGAGAATCACAATGCAATTCAAGACAAGATGGTAAGGAGGGCCCTGCCCCTGAGGGCTTACAATCTAAAAGGGAGGGGGAAGTGATACACGAGGAGGGAGCTGTGTGGGGATGAATTGTTTGAGAACGTGATGGTTGAGTGATTAGGTTGCGGTGGGATAGGCTTCCCTGAAGAGATGAGTCTTAAGGGATCGCCTAAAGGCAGTCAAAGTGGGAGACGGGTTGGTGTAAAGAGTTCCAGAGGATGGGAGAGACTAGTGAAGTCCTGGAGGCGAGCATGGGAAAAGATGACGAGGGAGCTGGAAAGCAGGAGGTCTTTTGAAGAGCGGAGTGGACAGTTAGGGTGATACTTTGAGACAAGGTTTGAGATATAGCCGGGGCAGAGTTGTGGATGGCTTTGTAAGTGGTCGTTGTTAAAATTTTGAATTTTATCCTTTGTGTCACAGTTCAGCTGCAGACTTGCAGCTGAGCTGTTACTTGTAGTTCTACAAGTATATACATATCTTTTACCCCTGGTTCTGCAGGCATGCAGAGCTGTGCTGGTGCTTGTAGTCCTCCAGACATGCGCTCTGAACCTGACTCACTCTTGCACCTGTCTGCAAGCTTTTGGCGTCGGCCGACCTCTCCTGCCGTTTCTTATGCAGGTTCTCGGCCAATCAGTGCAGTCTACTTGTGGCCAATCCTGTGGATCCTCCCTCTTCCTTTCTCCATTTAAACTCAGGACAGCGAACGGCACGCGGCCCGAGCAACGCTTTCCTAAGCTAGTTGCCGAGTCCCCCATTTGTGATTTACCCTGAATTCCTGGAAGTTTTCCCATGTACCGAACCTTTGGCTTGTCCTTGGAAATCCCTGTCTACTGGCTGCCCTGTGCTTCCCTTTTGTCCTTGGAAATCTCTGTCTACTGGCTGCCCTGTGCTTCCCTTTGTCCTTGGAAATCCCTGTCTATTGGCTGCCCTGTGCTTCCCTTTTGTCCTTGGAAATCTCTGTCTACTGGCTGCCCTGTGCTTCCCTTTTGTCCTTGGAAATCCCTGTCTACTGGCTGCCCTCTGCTTCCCTTTTGTCCTTGGAAATCCCTGTCTACAGTCTACGCTGTACTTCACTTGGTCCCTGGAAGTCTTTAGTCTGCCCCTAACCTTTGATTTGTACCCTGTACCTGTTAGGTGAGTTGGGTGGACCTAGGGATTGTGACCTGGTGTCAGCACGCAGCCAAGCCTATCTCCACCATCAGGAGCTCTGGCGAATACCGGCTGGCTCTTAGATTCCACATCCTGGGGAACCTCTGCCACCTACTCAGCATACCATGCCACCTACTCAGCATTGCAGCACCCTGCCTTGTATTTGAACTTCCTGCTTATGCTGACTTCCGCTGTCTAGGGATGTCCCGATACCGATGCTAGCATCGGTATCGGGCCCGATACAGGGCATTTTGACAAGTACTTGTACTTGTCAAAATGCCCCGATGCATAGCGCCGAAGTTTGCGCTGTTTTTTTTCTTCGCAGCGTGCGGATCCAGACCAGATCCAGACCGGATGAAAAAAATGCGGCAAGCCCTATTTTACCTGCTCTGGATCTGGTCTGGAACGCATCAAAAACGCATGCAAGTGCCTGAAAGCCCATGTTAAACTTTAAAAAAATTAAATAGTTCCCCCCCCCCCAAAACCGGCCCTAAACGCATCCAAAATGCGTCTAAAACGCGGCACAACCCACTGCACTGCGTGTGCAGAAACCTGACCGGATCTGGTCTGCATTTGGTGTGAACAAGGCCTCAGTAGATCGGGAGGTGAGCGAACACATGCCGGTGTTCGCTCACTTCTTGATCCTGTCACGGCTCTCTGCCGTGACAGGGGAGGGGATGGATTCCCCCCTCCGATCCGCCAGCGCGGAGTATGTCTCCTATGAAATGTGTTGTCCAATCAGATAGTACTGTACTATGGACTGTACTGTACTATGGATCATGATTAACCTAATCATGATAAATGCCACTGACCACCATTGATGGTGAAATTGTTTCTTGGGGAGTTTATATGTCATTAACCACCAATGATGGTGAAATTTTTTGTGTGGTTTATAACAGAAAGTAATGGAAACAAGGATTTTTTTTAATATTCTGTCTTTTTTCCTTTATATAGTAATAAATATATAAAATAAATAAATACATGAATGAATAAATACATAAATACATAAGTAAAACACAATACATGAATGAATAAACAAACAAAATAAGTAAAATAAATAAAAACATGAATTAATAAGTACATAATACATACACAAATATGTAAATAAATACATATATTAAGGAATGAATTAATACATAAATAAATGAATAACCAGCCAGGGGGGAGAGCAAAGTGAGACAGTCAGGGGAGAGAGAAAACAGATAGCCAGGAGAGAGGGAGAGAGGAGACAAGGTCAGGAGAGAGAAGAGACAGCCAGGAGAGAGAGGAGACAAGGTCAGGAGAGAGAGGAGAGACAGCCAGGAGAGAGAGGAGACAAGGTCAGGAGAGAGAGTAGAGACAGCCAGGAGAGAGAGAGAGGAGAGACAGCCAGGAGAGAGAAAGAGAGGAGAGCCAGCCAGGAGAGAGAGAGAGAGAGACAGCCAGGAGAGGGAGGAGAGACAGAGAGGGTGCCAGGAGAGAGAGAGACAGCCAGGAGAGAGGAGACACAGCCAGAGGAGAGACAGCCAGGAGAGAGAGAGGGAGAGACAGCCAGGAGAGAGAGGAGAGACAGCCAGGAGAGAGAGGAGAGACAGCCAGGAGAGAGAGAGGGAGAGACAGCCAGGGGAGAGAGAGGGAGAGACAGCCAGGAGAGGGAGGAGAGACAACCAGGAGAGAGAGGAGAGACAGCCAGGAGAGAGAGAGGGAGAGACAGCCAGGGGAGAGAGAGAGAGAGAGAGACAGCCAGGAGAGAGGAGACACAGCCAGAGGAGAGACAACCAGAAGAGAGAGAAGAGACAGCCAGGAAAGAGGGAGAAGAGAGACAGCCAGGAGAGAGAGAGAGAGACAGCCAGGAAAGAGGGAGAGGAGAGACAGTCAGGAGAGAGAGAGACAGCCAGGAAAGAGGGAGAGGAGAGACAGCCAGGAGAGAGAGAGAGAGACAACCAGGAGAGAGAGAGAGAGAGAGAGAGACAGGAAAGAGGGAGAGAGAGACAGCCAGGAGAGAGAGAGACAGCCAGGAGAGAGAGAGACAGCCAGGAGAGAGGAGACACAGCCAGAGGAGAGACAACCAGAAGAGAGAGAGAGACAGCCAGGAGAGGGAGAGAGAGAGGGAGAGAGAGAGAGACAGCCAGGAGAGAGGTAAGAGATAGCGAGCAACACATCTGCCTGAAGTAGAACCCCTGTGCCCCTCAAGACTTATCTGCACCCTGTAATTCAGACCCCTCCTTGCTCCCCAAGTTCCAGCATCTCTCCATGTCCCGGGCCTCCTCCACACACTGACATTGGAACACCAGGACCCCGTGGTTGCCCCTGTCTGCCTGACAGCTGGCCTGGATAAATATAGAGGGTGAATCTCCCTAACGGAGGACACAGGCAGCAATAAAAACCTGACAGGGATTCTAATCCCTCTACACTCTATGCAAAACTATTAAAAAGTTTTGGTTTCAGTTATACTTTAACTCTTAAGTTCCCTTTGGCCCGCCAGTTGTGGTGGAACTACAAGTCCCATGAGGCATTGCAAGACTCTTACAGCCACAGGCACTTCTTCCAGAGGCAGAAGCATGATGGGGTTTGTAGTTGCCTACCCCTGCCTTATACTTTCCTTTTAGTGACAGTTTTCGCCCTGCAGCCGCATTTGTCGCACATTGAAGTCACTTTCGCTAAACGCTTTCAAACATTTTACTTTTTATGCTTAAAGGAAGCGAGGACGGAGGCGCCCGGATCGCCCTTCCCCCGACTCCTCAGAACAGGTTCCGTCACTCCACCAGAGTCTGTAAAATAAATGGCCGCAGGACGTCCCATAATAAATCTCCCCTCCCCCACCATGTTATCACTACAAATATCATCATCTGATCTCTCTCTGCCACAATGTTACCGGAAAATATCAAATCATCTTTAACTTTCTTTTACACAATTCCTCTGGGGGGTGTGGGGGAGGGGGGGGAATACATATATAAAATCTGCCGGAAGACGAGGAGTTAAAGCTGAACGCCAAGCACTTTTCAATTATTTAAACTTAATAATAATAAATTATACATTTGTATCAATGTAAAAATAAAGAAGATAACATTTATTTAGATTTTAATATTTAATGTTATTTAACCAGTTGACATCCGCGGTGTTAAACCCCCTTCCCATCCAGGCCATTTTTCAGTATTCAGCGCTGCGGTACTTTGACTGACATTTATTCTGTCATGCAACGCCGTACTGAAATGAATTTTATACCCTTTTTTGTTTTTGTTTGTGACTTTAATTTTTTTTTACTTTTTTTATTTATATAGATTTTTTTTTTTACACTTATTGTTATTGCTATTACATAGGGGGATACCATTATAAAGGGATAAAACGAATGCAGCCGCCACATCTCAGGATTGCTAAGCTGCAATATATAAGACATTTCTGTTCTGGGGCGGAGGAGATACACTTTAAGTCTGCGAGTTCTCTACACATAAGCCAGGGGTGGGCATCTCCGGCCCTCCAGCTGTTGTGGAACTACAAGCCCCATGAGGCATTGCAAGACTGACAGTTGCAGACGTGACTCCCAGAGGCAGAGGCATGCTGGGATTTGTGGTTAAAGCACAGCTGGAGGGCCGGAGTTGCTCACCTCTGACATAAGACGCAGGGCGGCAGTGTCAGGGTTAATGGAGGCAGTCAGTGAGCTGTGACAGTTTACAGTACACACAGGTGAGCCGGGAGCGGGCTGGTGTGGGTCGGTCTCACCTGGATGAGCAGTGAGAGTTATATACACAACACTCCTCGGGGCCGCACAGCCACCTATATAAACAGGACGGGGCCCTGGCTCCGCAGACACTGCACCCGGCTGATCCCAGTATGGCTACCAAAGTGGAGATGAGGGTGAACGCACACCACGGTGACATGGCGGGGGCCAGGGAGCACGCCTTGGCCGTCACCAGGAATTACATATCCAACCCCAGGCTGTGTGAGTAGAGTCTTACCCACCAATTCAATCTTCACATTTATATTCACACTGCTATCGGGGCCCAGTCACACCATGGCGCTGTGTTCATAGCACCCTACCGCACAACGCATCTAGCAGTACTGTGTTGCCTTTTGTTTGATGCATGCGCTGCTTTTTTCACCACACCACAATGCAAAGCGCGGTATTGCGGCACCGGGTCGGACCACGTTGGGGCCCCGTTTATTTTCACGGAACGCGTGAATGGGCCCTTATGGCAGTGTAAAAATAACACAACGCACCTAGTTCACTGTAACGCAGTGCTATTTAATGATAGGAATTGAATGGATTTATCATAGGGGGGTCTGGTGGTAAAGGGTCTGCCGTATGATTCACACAGTGAATGTTTGCTGGACATTTGTCTCTCTGTATTTTACATCAGTTTTATAAAGGGGATTCACCCCATTCACCAATCATTTTCAAAGAGGATTCAGCCATTAGCATACACAAAATATAGATTGCCATTACATACAAGATTTACCCATCACATTTACTATCAAACAAGATTCACCCATCAGCATGCACAGAGAATATCATTACAAACAAGATTCATCGGCCACATTTGATATCAAACAAGATTCACCCATCACATTTACTATCAAACAAGATTCACCAGTCATGCATACACACAATATAGAGAATATCATTACAAACAAGATTCATCGGCCACATTTGATATCAAACAAGATTCACCCATCACATTTAAAATCAAACAGGATTCGCCCATAATAATACACACATAACAGTATAGAAATTCCCATTACATAAAAGATTCACCTACCACATTTGATATCAAACAAGATTCACTCATCAGCATACACACAATACAGAGATCTTCATTACAAACTAGATTCACCGGTCACATTTGATAATAAAATACGATTCACCCATCAGCATGCACACAATATAGAGATTCCCATTACAAACAAGATTCACCGGTCACATTTAAAATCAAACAAGATTCACCCATCAGCATAAACAAAATATTGAGGATAATAATAATAATAATAATAATAATAATAACTGACAGACAAGTGTCTCTCCAAAGTGAGGAAAATCCCTTCTTAGATCATTGTCATCATTCACATTTGTGTAAGACAATTTTTACTACAATTATTATTATTATCATCATCAGTATTATTATTGCAAATAATAATAATAATAATGTTACTGTCGCTAATATTATCAAAATTAGAGTACTTTTTATTTTTTAGAATATGTATTTATTTTCCTTACCATATGTTTTACTGATTCTCATAAGTTGTGAATTTTAAAGGGCAGGTCCACCTTAAAAGCGGTAATGAAGGATTTTATTCTAAGCAGCAGATTATTGATGAACATCAGGGATATTTCCAGGGACAAATCCTCCCAGTACTCTAGTACGGTCTATTATTTTACGCATAGCTGCAGGTGTTCCTGTACACAGGTCACGGGGTGTGTCGGAGTTTTGGTAACAGAGGAGAGAGTGAGCAGATTGTTGTGTAAACAGCGTCAATTCAGTGTAAAGAGTGGAGAGCATTCCTAAAGGACGCGAAGGAAGTCATTTCTAAATGCCGGCTTTAAAACATTCAACAAGATGACCTTGTCATAGGGACTCACCTCCAGCAAGTGTTTCCAATCTAAATACCAATAAGGAGCGCAAAAGTTTAGGGACGCCTCAAACCATATTCAACGTTTAACCAATTCAGCTTTCACCCCTGTATGCCCCGTGGGGGGTCTATTCATTCACTAATAACTTTTTTAATTACCTAAGATAGCAACTTAATACATATATCATGTGACATACAAGGCTTTCTTTGTCTTAACAACCCATGGACAAAAAAAAAAGTAACAACACTAAAATAGTACTCTAAAAAAACATAGACAAAAAAGTACAAAAAACCCTAACCGTCCCCTCCGCTCTTCCAAAGACCTCCTGCTTTCCAGTTCCCTTGTCAACTCCTCCCATACTCGCCTCCAGGACTTCTCTAGAGTCTCTCCCATCCTCTGGAACTCTTTATCCCAACCTGTCCACCTGTCTCCCACTCTGACTGCCTTTAGGCGATCCCTTAAGACTCATCTCTTCAGGGAAGCCGATCCCACCTCAACCTAACCGCTCAACCGTCACATTCTCAAAGTCCATCCCCACACAGCTCCCTCCTCATGTATCACCTCCCCCTCCCTTTTAGATTGTAAGCTCTCAGGAGCAGGGCCCTCCTTACCATCTTGTCTTGAATTGTATTGTAATGTCTTCCTTATATTGTAAAGCGCTGCGCAAACTATTGGCGCTATATAAATCCTGTATAATAATAATAATAACCTACAACATTGTATCTTCTCACTGGATCCGCTGGAGAACACTCCACAGTAGCAGGCAGAATTAAACCGTGTCCTAGGCTTAGGAAAACCCCAACAAACCTAAATAACAATAACAATCAGTTCTCAGACTGACTACAGCCTAGCTACAAACACTAAATTAAGACTGGGGACCCTCCAGCTTCTGGCAAGCTCACTGCACTTGGTTTACTAGATGCTTAGCTCCTCACTAGTACCTTGCTATGCACTACTGAGGCAGTATCAAATCCCAAAACAAAAATATATTGCACTAGGGATGTCCCGATAACAATACTAGTATCGGTATCGGGGCCAATACCAGGCATTTTCATGAGTACTTGTGGAAATGCCCCGATTCTTAAGGCCGATGCCAGCCCTTTAAATTTTTGTCGGGACCTCGGCAGCCTGCTGGGGTCCTGGCAGTAGCTGTCCCTGGCAGTGCCTGTCCGTTTCCATACCTCCTGCTCCTTCTTCCTGGCACAGGCAAAGCCATGGACAGCCCCACACACAGCACAGTACAGCCCCGGACACCGACACCCGTCCGATCAACTGAGAGCCCAGCAGAGATCCACATACCGCCCAGTTGAGACTGCAGCCTTCTGCTCTGGTGGGATCTATTGTGCTCTGCGGACATCTGTATTCTGCTCTGGGGACATCTGTGTTTAGCCCGGGTGAGAAACTGCCCTAAAATCATTAGTTTGCGTTGTTTTGAGAAAAAATGTCACATGGCCCTTTAAGAAAAAGTATCGGTAATTGGTATCGGCAAGTACCTGAGGGCAAGTACTTGTACTTGTACTTGGTCTTAAAAAAGTGGTATCGGGACATCCCTATATTGCACCTTACCAGTAGGAAATTGGCCGGTTGAGTCCCGGACAATGCATTGAGGGTAGACATGGAAGAGAGTCACGGGCACCACCATACCTGGAACTATCAGATTGTTCCATGGCTTCAGCCTGGGAGGGACCTAGGGTTAGGTAGGCATTTGATCTCTAATGAGGACCTGTTACTTTGCTCCGAATGGGACAAATTCAAGGTTAGGGATTAGGTTAGTTGATATTTTTAAATGAGCAATATTTTATTTATTTATTTTTGTTGGGATCATTTACTTTTCCAGGCTTGTTTTGGTTTGCTTTTTGTGTGCAAGTTATGTTTGTGACAACGTTCCAACATTATCACATTCTAAAGCACCATGCCGCCCCATAGAGTGCACTCTCCATATATTCTATGCTAGTATTCGCTAGGAGGGCCAGTGACAGTAAAAAATAATAGAAATAAGAATAAGGATGTAGGCCTCACAGCAACCTATTACTAAGTGCCAGAATCTAAAGCTCCAGGGCAAGATGGGTTCTGACTGGTTGCTGCGGGTCACAACAGCACACAAAAGGTTTTATACAATAGGGCCGTAGGTGAGCTACAGGTACTGTAGATATGACATTGTGCGAGTCACCCCCTGCTCAGTCCATTCTGTCTTAAGTACAAAGTCCAATGTAGCCCAATTGTACAAAGTCCAATGTAACCCAATTGTACAAAGTCCAATGTAACCCAATTGTACAAAGTCCAATGTAACCCAATTGTTCAAAGTCCAATGTAACCCAATTGTACAAATTTCAATGTAACCCAATCCAATATGGGGGTTTGGTGCTGTCAGAGTGGCGGTCAGATGGGTTGGAGCTGTGCGGTCAGCAGCTGTGTCCAGGTCCTGCTCAGCTCACTGACATGACTGGTTGCCAGGAGCTTGGCGGGGCACCAGCCAAAGTGTCCTGCCCAGCTGCTGACAACTGGTGATGTCAGTGAGCTGAGCGAGAAGCCAGACAGTACATCACAGGTTGCTAAGAGCTCTTGGATGCTGGGGATGCCCCCCTACCACCTCCCTCGCCACACCTGCTGTTCCCCCATGAGATGCCGCCTGATGCAACCGCCCTGAACCTTATAAACGTGGATTCCAAAGGTTGTGTCCACAGTTAAGGAGTACCCTGTTTTGTGTTTGAGAACATTCTCAGAGCCACTGTGCCCTATTCGACTCTGTGTGACCTTCTCCAACCACAACCCATTGTTGAGTTGACAACCCTACACTTGTTTTAACAATATGAACCCCATTAGGTCTGGTACACATCACTGAAATGGGTTTGAAGGCCACAGCCATTGTGGATGATGCTAAACCCAATAAGCTGATAGTCTGGTGTGAAAATTATGCATTCTAATAAATGAAATGTATCCAAACCCAAGAACAAAAATGTAATATGTTGCAGGTTACCAGTCCTTTCATGTGGTTGCTGCATTCGTTTTCTTTTTCAGGCTAAGCAGACTTTCTGTGAACATAGAAAACAAAAAATGTTTTCAGCTTTCTCAGCAATTTGTAATCAGAAAGGCACCCTAGGGTTACAATGCTGCAGCTCCATAGATACAGTGAGTTGTCACCCTACGACAGGAAGTGCGTTGCCATCAAGATCACAATGTGATAATAAGGGGAAAAGGTCTAAAAACGAATGCAGTCACCACATCTGAGGACCGGTAAGTTGCCACGTATTACATTTTAGATTTTTGGTTTGGATATCCTATAATATTAGCCTGGCATGCTGGGATCTGTAGCTCCCCAGTGTCTAAAGGCCCAAATGCTGACTGCAATAAAAAAAAATCCTCCCAGATGCCAA